CAGTTACGGTAACTGAACGGCTAATACCAGCCAAGCAGTGCACCAACACGCCACAGTTTTTGCCCCGGGCTTCATCTGTGAACACAAAAAGCAAAAGCAAGATGTGAAGTAGGCTGAAAACCACCCTTTGTGAATTAGGAGTCTAAACTTTGAATGAAAAAAGGATTTAAAACAATCGTGTGTGTTCCCTGCAGGCAACAGAAAAAAAAAATTATCACTGAGATAAACATGTACCCAGGACACAATTACATATTTCAGATATTTTCTGAAAAGAGGGCTTTTTGTATTAAGTTTCTACCAACAAAAAACTCCTTAAATGTGTGCATTCTTCGCCTCAGCATGTGAATGCCAGAAACCCTGCAACATGGTCGTGAATGCCTTTCATACAGACAAGCAGACTGCAAAGGTCTATTAAATTATCCTCCAACTGTTGTGCAGCTAACAATGGAGGTATTCAGGCATTTTAAAAGAGAGGGAAGTCACAGGGGACAAGCCATTAGGGGGACAGGATGTCGACATGGCCTGAAAATGAGTTCCTTTGTAATAGGAAATGCACTACAATGCCTGGAGATTCACTTCTCCCGGACTTCCAGCGCAGTTCTTCCTGCTGGGATCAGGTTACCCTCACGGTCTCACCGTTACCAAGTATCTTCGCATCACACAACTGGATAACATTTAGCATTCATAATGCTTTCCAACAACTAACTTGATGTCCTAAAATAGCTTCTAGATCTTTTAAATTACAATGCAAGCTAGAATTCCTGTCCAGAGCGAGTACTTCAATCTAGCCTTCTCCATCCCCACCCTCGGGCCCAAAGATTATGGGCAAATTCTGTTCTCTGATCAGGCACTGCAATTCAGATTCAATAAACAGCGTTTCAAACAGATCTGTGGTCTGCAGCCCTATTAAAACGCACTTTTCCATTCCTTAGCAAGAAGATAACCTCAGTGTCAAACGTCCTAGGAATGATAGAAAGCAACAGTCCAACAAATTAGCAAACAGCAATGACGATTAACACTTTAAACTCTGAATAGGCCTAGTTTTGCATTTGAAGCCAGAACAAGTACTGTTAATTAGTCTCTTACCTATGAAAGAAATGGCTTCGGGGAAAAACTGGGACAGGTTTTGGCTCCAGTGATCCGAGATGGGGATCTGCTTGTATTTGAACTCTCCTGCATTCTCGAAGAGGTTGGGCAAATTGGGGGTGACATTCAAGATGTACTTGATGCCGAACTCCTCCAACACGTCCAAGTTGGTGGAGTCCTTGGCACAGCCTAAATAAAGGAAGGGCAAGATCTCCACCGGGAAGGAAGGCTGGCTGTTGGACAGCGGGCTGCCATCTGAGTCCGTAGCACTGTTCAGGTCCCGGTCAAGGTCAGACTCAATGTCCGAGGAAGAGTCAGAGCTGATGCGCAGGCCGCCAAGCCCCAGCACTGGCAACGGCGGTGAGCTGCTGCTACACGAGCCATCTAGATTGGTCTCGCAGTGCAAGGCGAACTCGGCTTGGAACTTACTGAAGCCACCTGCCAGGAGAAAAGCAATAGTGTAACCCGAGATGCCTGTAGTAGTTTTCGCAGCTGGTGAGAACGCAGCTGGGCGCAGGAAACACCACTGGCACCCCCGAGCTCCCTACAGCATAGTGAAAGATAACAAACCCACTTCAATGTGCACCTTCGGAAATGGAACCGACTTGTCGCCTCCCTGGAAACCTTTGTTCTTTTGAACCCATAAATACACAAAATGGCAACTTCTCCAAATATTCTGAGGAGCTACGAAGTGCTGGCCTGCACCTCCCCAACCCCAAGACCTCGCTCGCCCTGCAAATCTTACTTGAAAATCTGAACTAGGGATAGCAAGAGAACATCCCGAATAAGAAAATGCAGAACTCGTTAGAAAGAAACCGCACATCCGCCCGAACGGAACTCGGGACCGGGCACCACGGTTCCGGAGCGCAGCAGAGGGTTTCGACCCGCGCGCCCAGCCCCGCTCCCCAGGCTCCCCGCGCGGCACGCACCTTCCAGGTAAAAGGCCCGGCAGCCCTCGGCCTTCAGCTTCTTCAGCAGCAGCCCGAGCACCGACTCGCCGCCCGTGTTCTCGTTCCAGTCGCTGCTGCTCTCGTCGTACAGGACCACCGTGTCGGTGCCGCAGCGCCTGGTGAAGCGGTCGCGGTCCTCGCCGCGCGTGAAGAGCGCGCGCACCGGCAGGTTGCCCTTCTGCAGGCGCCGCAGCATGATCCCGGGGATCGCCACGTTGATGGCCGACTCGATGTGCGACGAGTCGTAGAGCTCCTGCGGCCGGCAGTCCATCAGCAGCAGCCGCTCGTTGCCCAGTTCCAGCTGCTCGTTGAGCCACGCCACCGTCTTGCTGATCGCCATTTCCGACGCGAAGGGCGCGGGTCTGAGCGTATCTATCATGAGGGTCGAGCTGCGGGAGAGGCGGGTGCCTACCAGACGCCCCGAGGGGCAGGCATAGGCCGACTGCGCTCTCGGAGCAGGCTTTAATTCCGCCTCGCCTTTCCCAAGCCGAGGCTAGCGCCCGGGCAAGGCGAGACAGAAGAGCAGCCGGCGGTCGCTCTGCACCCAGCTGCAGCGGTTCGCTGCTGGAATCAATGAATCTCTCTCAATGAAGCTGCCCAGTTTGGTTCCTCCCCAGTGAATGAAATCCAATTAATTCGGACTCCGTGATACTGAGGGAGAAGAAAAAAAATTAAAAACTTAAAGGTTCTTAATCTCTCTCGCCGAGGCCGCACCTCAAATCCACCCCAGCGCCTCTCCCTGGATTGTTCGATTCGATTTGCTCACTGTCCCTAAGACTCAACCTTAGCACACCCCCAGCGCGAGGCAGCTCCTCAATGGATACAAACAGCGAGCGTCTCAATGGATACATTCTCTCGGCCAGCCAATGAGCGCTCTGCGGAAGGGGCTGTTGCCGTGGGGACGGGCCGGCTGGAACAGGTTGTGTTGATGAATTGTTAATGAGTTTGTCATTCACAAAAACGGAAAGGAATTTCCGCTCCGGATAAGCCCCAGTGCAAACAAGCTGCAACAGCGGGCTCGGCGGGAAGGAAGGAGAAAGAAGAGGAGGCGGCGGTGGAGGAGGAGCAGGCACATAAACCAGGGCGCTTCAGTCGTCTCATGTTTCCTTCTGTTGAGAGTTCACACTTTATGGCGGAACTTTTGCGCACAAATGGTGCAGTTAGCGTGCACAAAAGCCCTTCTTCGCGACTCCTGTGCTCTTCAACTAGCTTAAGGAGAACTTGTACTTTTAAAAAATTCTCTCCAAACTTAGATGGATCCAAGTTCGCCCTAGCTCCCCTCCTCTGCCCTCCTTAAGTCGGTGTGTGGCATTTGTTTGCCTGTTTTTAAAGCCCAGCTCTGTTTGCTCTGATGTTCTTTTAGCCGAGACTGTTGGGGCTGGTGAACTGCCTGGGCTTTAGTGACCGGTGATGTGTTAAATGCTAATCCAACATCTTTCGAAACAAACCAGGGCTTTGTTGAAACATTTGAAGGCAACCAAACAAACAAACGTCTGCTAATCCAGAAAATCAGGAGAAAGCCCCTAGTTTAATTTTAAAGAAATGGTAAGGATTGCATTTTTAAAAACTCCTTGAGCAGACCGACGCTTTTAATCCGCACTGGCTTTAAAACCCATTGTTCCGAGAATATAAACCCCCAGACCCAAGCGGTCATGCACCGCCAGCTTTGGGTGCAACAGCTCACCTTAAGAACCGGCCACGCAAAGCCGCTTGAGCTCCGTGCGTTTGCGCACGCAAAGCAGGACCGGCTGTCCCCGCCACCCGCGGGCGTGAGGCAAAGCTCCGCAAACCGTGCACACTGCGGGGGGCTGAGCCGGCCGGCCCAACGATTGGCTACTTAGCCCACTGGAGGCTCAGCGGGGCGCCTCCTACGTCCGCCCGACCACCCAGCGCCCCTGCTGCATCCGCCGCCCCCTCCCTCGCTCAGCGCGGGACGCCCCGGGAGCCCCCGCCGCGCTTGCGCGCTCCTCGCCGAGGCCCCCGCGCCTCTCTGGGTAAGGAGAGCGCAGGGCCTGGGGCGACCCGGGGGAACGTGGGCTGGACTGCGCTGGGATCTGGCTTCGTTAGAGGCCTGCACCGGGTAGGGGCGGGGGAGGAAGAATGCCCCCGGGGGCCTCCTTGACTCATGCGTGGGGCTGGGGCTCATAGGGACTGTTTTTGCGGCCTCGCACCACCCTCAGGTAATTTAGGGAGGTGCAGAGCTGCGCGCAGCCCGGGCGCCCGGACCGGGACTCTCGCTGGAAGCCGGATGGAGGCGGGGCCGGGCCGGACCGCACCGGCGAGCACAGCTCTATTGTTATATAAAAGTGCAGAGGCAGGCGACTCCCGAGCGGAAAACCACCTGTGTGCAGCCGAAGGGCTGTGGCCGGAAAGCGCGGCTCCTAATCCGGCCTCCCCTCCCTAACCCCGGCGGAAAAGAGGCGGCGCATTGTCCCGCCGCGGCCCGGGAGGCGGAAGCGGGGGCAGCGGCCTGGCGGGGAGCGGCTCTCTGGAGCGCGCCCCTGCGAGCTCGCGAGGGCGCCCGAGGTCGCCGGGTCTCCCCCAGCCGGCGCCCCGCACCCATGGGCCTGCCCACTGACGCCCCCGTTGCAATTTACATTTTTAGTCACCCTCCTCTTCTCTGGTTTGGGAAATGTGGGCTAAAAGAGACGGCTGCAAGTCCCTGGTTGCCAATTTTGGAGCTTTGCAGCAGGCAGGCCGCTCCTGGGGGAGCTCCCTTGGGGATGGTGGGGGCGCACGCGTTGCTCTTCCGCGCGGTTTTGGGGGGAGCCCTCGGAATCAGACGCCCGTGTCTCACTGGATCTCTTCGCGTTTTAGCTGAGGGAGGCCTGCGACGGAGCTTACCCCCTCCCCATTCTTTCTCATCTGTTACAGAGCAGACGTCCCCAGCCCCAAGAAGTTGCAGGGGTTTTTCTTTTGGTGGGGGGGTAGTGCGCCACGGAAATAAATAATTTTTCAACCCAACACCTCCAGCCGAACTGGAGGGGGGAGGCAGCGAAGCTGAATTTCTTCTTACCCGTTGTTTTTCTTCCCATTTTAAAATACATTTACGAGAGTGTGAGAGTAGGTCAGGGAGGATCGTCACAACCCCTGGCAAAACTGAAGGTCAAAATACTTAAGTTTTACCTATGCTTCTGATCGCTATGGCAACGAGAACGTCGTCCCTTCCCGGAACACTTTTCTAAATGGCGTTCTGACCTCTCCACTTAAGAACTGGCATGAAAGGGCCTCAGGAGTTCCGCAGCTCGCGTTTGAACAAGGCCCCCGCCTCTCCTTAGGATCGCAGCCAGGGTCAAGTCATCCAGCAGCTCTAAGCTATAGTCTTCCACGTTGGCATGTTTTATTTTTTAAGGTCGCTCTGATGATTTAAGTGGTACTGTGAAATGGCCTAACATGGTGATGTGGGTGTTATTTTTATGGTTCTGGACTGTGAGTCTGCAAAATGGCCCGAGTCCTTTGGAGTGTCTCATTGCCTTCCAGAGATGACCGCTGAAGCCTGCCTACCGATCTGCAGCAGGGCTCCCTCATCTGCACAGAGTCTGACTACACTGATCAGTTTGATTCAGTCTACTTAAGCTATGGAGCAAGGCAGGAGTTGCCCCATAAGGCTGCAAATTCCATAGCAAGGCTGACTGACGGCCAGCATGGACTCAGCTACATTTCCAGCTTCACCTTGCTGGTCTCCTTTTAAGTATCTTGTTCTCCAGTCTCATCAAACTGGTAGAACAGAAATGCAGTGTCCTGAACAACAGCCTGTGTCTGTGTGTACAGGCCTAATTTCTGCTAGGCTTCCAGACAAAACACCTTCCTCCCCGGGGAAAGCCCACTTGGTGTTGCAGTCCCACCTGAAATGTCACCATCCTGGCCATTCGGGGCAGGCTTCCTGGAAAACTCACCTGGAGATAAGTGTTTGAGCAAGGAGAAGAACCGCAGGCTTCCTTCATTTCAGAGGTCTGTTTCTTCAGGATGTTGGTCATGCCTTTTTGATCCAGTCCTTTCATGCAAACAGGCTTTTTCTCAGGTCCTTGGTTTGTTGTTGGATGTGTGGGCAGGCGCTGAGCACCTGTTCTTGAATTTTCCTTAAGGTTTCCCTCTGACCGTTGTTTCCCTAGTTATAAGTGTTCTCTGCCATCAGGGAAGCAGTCCAACTTCGCAGGAATTTTCCTGAGTTTAAGGACAGTTGGATTTACAAAACCAAATGAAGTTGCATGACCCTTAATCTTTTTGTGGTAATCTCTCAGATTTACAGTAGCATTTATTCACACATGTGGAAAAAAAACAGATTTTTTTTTTTTTTTTTAAGCACCTGATCAGCATTTAAGAGGATGTTTTGGAAGATCTGATTTAAAATGTAATGTAACATACTCAAGATTTACTGAGCCAGACCGGTAGCGAGGTCTTTAATTCCAGTTACCTGGGGGGACTGAGACAGGACTGCAAGTTTCCACCCAGCCTGGGTAGTTTGATGACCGAAAGAACCTCTCTAAAAATTAAAAAAAAAAAAAGCAGTTGGGATGTAGTTCAATGCAAAGAACCCAGTAGTGCCGACACCCCTGCCACCATACCACCACCACCACCACACAACACACACGCAGATTTACTGTGGGAGGTCCCAGGGAAGGCCTCAGAATTACAGTGACTTTTTGAGCAGCTAAGCTCAAAACCAAGCTTAATTGTATCTAAGGGTACAATTTGACTGAGTAAGCTCCTGATTTAGGACCATTTAGGTTGAGAACTTTCATGGGGGCACTATAAGAAGACTCACTTTATTGGCTTATGAATAAATCTAACTTAGGAACAATTCTCCAGGAATGGAACTTGTTCTTAAATCAAGAACTTACTGTATTATAGGAATACATGTATATAAGGTGCACACATTTCTGTGAGGTCTTCTTATAGGTGCCCCAAAAAGATAGCAACAAATTCTATCTTAATTGGAGGAACTGAGGAACTCAAGGGGCCTGAGGGACTGACAATAAGAAATGCTGATCAGGTGCTAAGAGTGTCAGCTGACTCATAATTTAGATCCCTCAGGGGCAGGCCCCAGCACTGCGGATCCAGGTTTGTAATTAAACCGCTGTCCTCCTGCAAACTCCCTGCAGCTTGTCCCAAGGTGAGGAACCCCAGGGTTTTCTGATTTCCCCAAGCAATGCAGGTGTGGTAGAAAGGCCAGGTCCAGCAACAACCCCCCCCAAGAGTCACCTGTCCCCAAGCACTTTGGGAGGGTGGTTAGAGCTTCCCTGTAGACAGGATGACACTTCTGCACATAGCCAGAATGCTGTGACATGATGACAAATACGGCTACAAGGACCAGGGAGATAGCTCAGTGGCATAAGCACTTGCGTGGCAAGCACAGGGAATTGAGTTCAATCCCCAGTAATACACACACACACACACACACACACACTCAACAAATATGGGCGAAAAAAAACCCACAACAAATATGGGCTACTGTGAGGTGAAATTCAGACCTTAGCTTGGCTAAACTTTGAAAAGTAATAGTCATAAGCTGCCTTGCGTTTCACTTCCAACATCTAATGCATTACTGATTTCTATACATGAGGATACCATGGAACTTTATCGCAAATATGCTTTTGAAATGTCTAGCAAGGACATCCACTTAAAACATATTAATTTCTTCTTTCACATGGTTTAATCCCATGCTGTCCATTAGGAGAACTTCTACTGATTTCTTTTATACTTTATTTTTTGCAATATAGGACATATAAAAATATGTATGAATATATGTGGGTAAGAAATCACCAGGCTCAATTTTTCTGAGCCATACAGTCAGATTCAACATCTCAATATTTTGTGTTCATTTAAATGTGATTGTTTCTCCTGACAATTCTCCTGCCTGATACTTGGAAAGATTTGAATAAAAGGTTAGATTTAATCATCCATGCACACTGTGTGCATCATGGAAGGACATTAATATGCACAATCACTATATGTTAATAAAATTTCT